GTTGAGCTGAACTGGCCGTTAATCTGAACTGCCTTTGATCTGAATTGCCTTTAAATCTGAACTGCCGTTGAATTGAACTGCCTTGTTTAATCTGAACTGTCTTTAATCTGAACTGCTGTTAATCTGAAACCGCTGTTAATCTGAACTGCCTTTGATCTGAATTGCCTTTAAACTGAACTGCCATTGAATTGAACTGCCTTGTTTAAACTGAACTGCCTTTAATGTGAACTGCCGTTAATGTGAACTGCCGTTAATCTGAACTGCCTTGTTTAATCTGACCTGCCGTTGAGCTGAACTGCCTTGTTTAATCTGACCTGCCGTTGAGCTGAACTGCCATTGAGCTGAACTGCCTTTGATCTGAACTTCCTTTAATCTGAACTGCCGCTGAGCTGAACTGCCTTGCTTAATCTGAACTGCCGTTGAGCTGAACTGCCTTGTTTAATCTGACCTGCCATTGAACTGACCTGTCGTTGAGCTGACCTGCTGTTGAGCTGACCTGCCGTTGAGCTGAACTGCCTTTGATCTGAACTGCTATTGAGCTGAACTGCCTTATTTAATCTGAACTGCCGTTGAGCTGACCTGCCATTGAGCTGACCTGCCATTGTGCTGAACTGCTGTTGAGCTGAACTGCCGTTGATCTGAACTGGCCGTTAATCTGAACTGCCTTTGATCTGAATTGCGTTGAGCTGAACTGCCATTAATCTGACCTGCTGTTAATCTGAACTGCCGCTCAGATGACCTGCTGTTAATCTGCCTTCAAGCAAACCAACCTTTTAAGCAGGCCATCAATCAGACCAGCCAGCAGACCAGACTTTAATCAGGCCATCAATCAGACCAGCCAGCAGACCAGACTTTAATCAGGCCATCAATCAGACCAGCCAGCAGACCAGACTTTAATCAGGCCATCAATCAGACCAGCCAGCAGACCAGACTTTAATCAGGCCGTCAATCAGAACAGCCAGCAGACCAGACTTTAATCAGGCCATCAGTCAGACCAGCCATCAATTAGACCAGCCATCAATCAAGCCAGCCAGTCATCAATCAAGCCCAGCCAGCAGACCAGCATTTAATAGGCTCAGCCAGCAGAAAAGGCCTATAGACAGCCAAGACCGGCCTTGACAGTGCAACTAGCATGATCACATGTCATGGAGGATCTTCGTCAGGCTGAGTTCAGATTTCATGGCTTGCTTACTCCAAGGAAACTGATACAGTTACATGTAAAGTTTAAGAAAAATTAATAATAGCGCCTATGGTCAAAATTATATAACTTACTAATAGTGTACCAGCTGCAAAAAATCACCATATATATAAAAGTGTACCAATAAATAAATAATTTGCGCTAGTAAATGTATATAAATATATAAATATATATAAAGAAATCATCAAATCATAAGTCCAGAAAAAAAAATATATATGCCAATACCACAAAAAAAAAATATAAAAAAAAAAAAAAAAACTTTTAAGTGCAAAAAACTTTTGTGCAAAAAAAGTGTCTAAATATGATGAAAATTTCACCAAAAAACCTTGATAATATAATGGCAGATCATCCATAAATATATCTTCAGAAACGGAAACTCTGCAACACACCGATCCTCATCGATCGAAATAACAGGATGAAAAACTTTGTAGTTAATCGAAAATCCACTTCTCCAATAGATAAAGGACCACCTTCAAACGTATCCATGGGGGGAAATGCCAAGCACTCGAGAGAAACAGAAATTTCATGGTGCAATATTATAAAAACCAATTCCTTTATTAGGTACTCATTGCACTTACTCAAGAGGTGTCCCAGCCGACACCAGCATCAACAGCATAACAGCAATCACATAAACGAGCCTGGCTACTCAGCACATGCGCAGTAGCTGGCAGCCAAAAACGTAATGACGTCACATCAATCAAGCTCCGCCCTACGCGTTTCGTCATCGACGTCCTCACGGAGCGGATAGATGTGAGACGTCTCAACCTCCTTAAATATTCACTCACAGGAAACGAACAGCTGACATCAATGGGGAATCAAGCAAAGCAAGCCGCCCCACAGATGACAGGAATCCACAAAGGATATACAATGTATCCAATATTTTGCCATCACAAGCAAAAAAACTTTAAAACAAGAGAACAAAAATAGAATAAAAAAAATTTAAATAAAACACTAATGATAAATAAATTAAATAAATAAATACATTAACGGGCCAGCACCCTCTAAGACTGTGTTTCAAAAAGGGAAACTTAAAGGGCCAGTAACACTTTAAACACAAATAAAGGGGAACTCTAGTAATAATACAAAAATAATGCAAAAATTGTACAAAAAGCATACAATCTCCCATATATCATCTTTAAACAGTTGCCTATATAAAAATATACTTAAAAATAACATAAAAATTAAAAATTTTTGAGGAAAAACAAATTCAAATCTATATCGACATTTAACCCAAATGGTTGCAAGGAATTTAGTGGATTTATTTGGATTTATGAACTAAATTCCTTGCAACCATTTGGGTTAAATGTCGATATAGATTTGAATTGTTTTCTCACAAATTTTTAATTTTTAATTTTTATGTTATTTTAAGTATATTTTTATATAGGCAACTGTTTAAAGATTGATATATGGGAGATTGTATGCTTTTTGTACAATTTTTGCATTATTTTTGTATTATTACTAGAGTTCCCCTTTATTTGTGTTTAAAGTGTTACTGGCCCTTTAAGTTCCCTTTTTGAAACACAGTCTTAGAGGGTGTGCTGGCCTGTTAATGTATTTATTTATTTAATTTATTTATTTATCATTAGTGTTTTATTTAAATTTTTTTTATTCTATTTTTGTTCTCTTGTTTTAAGTTTTTTTGCTTGTGATGGCAAATATATTGGATACATTGTATATCCTTTGTGGACTCCTGTCATCTGTGGGGCGGCTTGCTTTGCTTGATTCCCCATTGATGTCAGCTGTTCGTTTCCTGTGAGTGAATATATTTAAGGAGGTTGAGACGTCTCACATCTATCCGCTCGTGAGGACGTCGATGACGAAACGCGTAGGGCGAGCTTGATTGATGTGACGTCATTACGTTTTTGGCTGCCAGCTACTGCGCATGTGCTGAGTAGCCAGGCTCGTTTATGTGATTGCTGTTATGCTGTTGATGCTGGTGTCGGCTGGGACACCTCTTGAGTAAGTGCAATGAGTACCTAATAAAGGAATTGGTTTTTATAATATTGCACCATGAAGTCTTTCTGTTTCTCTCGAGTGCTTGGCATTTCCCCCCATGGATACGTTTGAAGGTGGTCCTTTATCTATTGGAGAAGTGGATTTTCGATTAAACTACAAAGTTTTTCATCCTGTTATTTCGATCGATGAGGATCGGTGTGTTGCAGAGTTTCCGTTTCTGAAGATATATTTATGGATGATCTGCCATTATTTTATCAAGGTTTTTTGGTGAAATTTTTCATATTTAGACACTTTTTTTGCACAAAAGTTTTTTGCACTTAAAAGGTTTTTTTTTTTTTTTATATATTTTTTTTGTGGGTATTGGCATATATATATTTTTTTTCTGGGACTTATGATTTGATGATTTCTTTATATATATTTATATATTTATTCACATTTACTAGCGCAAATTATTTATTTATTGGTACATGTAAAGTTTGCAGTCGGTACCCCCCCCAAATTTCAGATGAAAAATGGGAAATGGCTTAAAAGCTCCATTTAAAAGAGAAACTTTTGTATGGCATGACAAATGTAATAAACACAAAGAGAATATTGATAAGGCAAAGGCTAGAGACAACCCTGAAGAAAGACCTTTAGCTATGTGTATCAGAAAAATGGACGCAGCAATGTTTCAGCACATGACACACATGTTTAACATTGCTTATTACGTAGCTAAATGTGAAAAGCCATTTCTAGATTTCCCTGATTTATTAACATTGAGTGCCAAACTAGATGTGCCAGTTCTTCAGAAATATGGAAGTAATGTTCAATGCAAACAATTCATTCATTTCATTGCAAGAATAATCAGAGAAAGTCTTGTGGCAAACATTAAAAAGTCACCTTTTGTTAGCATCATGATTGACGGATCTACAGATCGAACCTACACTAAACATGCAAACATTTATATCCGTTATGTTTCAGAAGGAGACTGTCAAAGAAGATTTTTTGGGTACATTTGCGCTAGAAAATGCTACAGCCGAGGTTATTTCAAAGAATTGACTGCCTTTATGGATAATTTGCATCTTAATTACAGAGGCTCTCTCCATGGGTTGCAGGCTTGGGAACGGATGGAGCTGCAAGCATGCTTGGCCACAAGTCAGGTTTAGCAGTCCAGATGAAAGAAGTCTGCCCACAGTCATGATCAGCATACATTGTGTGGCTCATCGCTTGCAGCTTGCGATCTTGGATGTTTGCAAGGAAATGCCATACCTACAAACATTTAATGAGGTGATGCGGCGTGTTTTCAAATATATTATCATTGCTCAGCAAACCGCCTTATGCAACGTAAAGATCTCGCAAACACTTTTAGTGAGAAATCTTGACAATGAAAGATGTACACACAGTGCGCTGGTTATACAGCTAAGTTGAGGCCTTGCACGCTTTTCTGCAAAACTGGAAGACCGTAGTGAGCCATTTTGAGCAGATATCAACTGAGGGATCATCTGAACCTGCTAAAGTTAAAGGCATCCTGAAAGACCTGAAACAGCTGAAGTTTGTGAAACTTTTGCATTTGATATTCGATTTTTATAGCAAGCTGAAACCTTTGTCAGAGGGTCTTCAGAACAAGGAACTTATGATCTGTTAGGTAAAAAACAAACTAGAACATGCAGTTAAAATGTTTCAGGATCTTTCTGATGGGAAAGGAGAAAACGAACTTGAATTTCTTAGTAAGTTTACAGAAGATGAAAAACTACATGGGCTGCAGCTGACCAACCTTCAAGCTGGTGACAGAGAATTTCAGTATATACGCCAATCTGTATTGGCCAAAGCAGAAAGATATTTAAATTTGAGGCTTTCCTCATTCTCCTCAGATATTGTACAATCTTTCAATATATTTAACAGCGTGTCTTGGCCAGACAAAGCACACGTCCTCAACTTTGGATTGACTGAATTGCACACAATTGCAAAACATGTAATGTCAACATGTAACATGTTGATAATCAGTTTGAAGACAAAATAGACCTGTTTAGAAGCAGAGATGGCTGACCTAAAACTCTCCATTGAAAATGGACTCTCGGTTAATGAGTTAATGAGACTGAAAAGATTGAATCAGCAGAAGAAAGATTCCACAACATACTCCCTCTGGTCAATTTCTGTGCCATGCTTCCCCCAACAACCAAACTCATGTGAACGTGGCTTTAGCTGCCAAAACAGAATAAAGATGGTCTATCGTTCATCACTGACACTGGAGACTTTGGATGATCTTTTGATGATTGCCGTTAATGGACCACCACTAAAAGATTACAATCCAAATACAGCCATTGATAGTGGTCATTTTCATCAGAAAGGGGACGTTACACAAGTCTTGGTCCTGCTGTACAACGAAAACCATAGGAATTCTTGATGTGAAACTGGCTTCCTACTGCTTTTTGGCATCCAAAAAATGATTTTTTGGTGTGTTTTTTTCTTAATTGAATAGAATGCAATCCACACACAGCCATTGAAGTGGTATTTTGCATCAGAAAAACGGGTATTATACAGGTCTTGGTGCTGCTGTACAACACAAACCATGGTTGCTCTATTAGCACATCTTTGGCAAAATGTTTTCTATTGTTATGCCATGTTTTTTTGGCATCTAAATAAGCACTTTTTTGTTTTTTCTTAATGCACTAATTCTCTAAGCTCTCTTTTAATAAGATGCTGGAGATAAAAAATGCAAAATGTTTACATTATTTTATGCAATTTTTTTGGCCATCAAAAGAGGCACTTTTTCTTATGCTATACTTCTGTAAACTAAACTTACATCTTTTAAAAGAGACTTTAGTTACTAAAGTCTCTTTTTAAAGATGCAGGAGATAAACAATAAAATTACAAAATGTTCACTACAGGTTTAAAGCTGTAAAACTTGATATTTTGAATGCACCCTATTGCTATTAAACTATTGCTGTTATGTTTAAATTGACATAATAAAGCTATGTTATAATTGCAGTTTTTTATATTTTGGACTCTTTATTCTAAAGAAAAATGTAATTTCATAAGCTTTAAGGGGGTCATGGTTGGGGAAGGGCTGGGGGCGGCTCTGGGGATGGGCCAGGGGTGGGTTGGAGGCGGGCCTGGGCAAGGTTGGGTGGGCAACTGGTGGAGAGTAAGCTTTGTGCCTGGTAGTAGGTCTGGACTCAAAATTTTAAGCACTGTATTATATATATATGTGTAGATAACACAGCTCAGACAGGAAGTATAAACCTCGCAGAACCTGGATGCACAAAAAAAAATATAAAAATAAAATATATATTGATTTGAAAGATGTGTCTGCACAGCACTGCATAAACTTCAAATGTCCTAAAGCACCAAGGTACTGTCCTTGGAAATAGTGTAAATATATATATATATATATATACTGTATACACTATATTTCTGACACTTTTTCTTTACATGAAAAAACAGGGTTTTTTTTGCTAGAAAATTACTTTGAACCTCCAGACATTAAATATTTTTTAAAGCAGAGGCCCTAGAGGATAAAATGGTGGGTGTTGAAATTTTTTTATGCCACACAGTATTTACGCAGCAATTTTTTCAAACGTAATTTTTTTTTTTGCGGAAAAAAATACACTTTTTAGAACTTTATTGCACAAAAACACAATATATTGCCAAATTGTTTGATAAACGTTAAAAGATAATGCTACAGCGAGTAAATGGATACCAACATGACATGCTTTAAAATGGCGCATGTCCGTGCAATGGCGACAAACTGAGTACATTTTAAATATCCATAGGTGACACTTTAAAATCCCTTACAGGTCACCACTTTTGATTTACATAGGAGGTCTAGTGCTATAATTATTTACCTCAATCTGATGTTTGTGGTGATACCTCACATGCATGGTGCAATCTCTGTTTACATACTGACGCATTTGCATGTCTCACTGTCTACATTCCTGCAATTCACCAGTGCCACCCATCCTCTGTGGACAACTGTACTACTGAAACCACAGGTACTCTTTTTTTTACCCTTTGCTCAACCCTTTGTACTTCCCAGCTAGTGAACATAGCATTGTGCTATGGGGGCAGTCACGTACCAGGTATGTTAGGCCTGCTTGGCTTTTTTTTAGGAACAAGGACTGCTGTAGGTGAAGCTACACTATGCTATTTTCACTGAACATTCCTACAGAGGAGACCATTACACTACACTTTCTGTACAGTGTGCTGCGTGTTAGAAATATCCTATTAATTGACAAGTTTGTGTTAAAAAAACACATTTTTAATTTTCTTTCCACAATTTCCAAAAACATGGGGCAAAAAATTACATTTTTATTTGCTCTCCAAAATGTGGTCATTTTGTGGGTGTTTCTATTGTCCTGAAACTCCAAAAAAGGTGATAGGTTTGTCAGGAAATTAGATGTATATTGTATGCCACTATAACACCTGAAGGTGCTCATTGGGTGTTGGGCTCCTCTGTGTGGCTAGGCTGTGAAAAATTCTGACAGGTGTGTGATATTGTCATACTCAGAAGCAGTAGCAGAATGTGTTTTTGAAGTGTAATTCTAAGGTTGCCTATGCTGTGTGTGAGAATTAACTTGTTAAAATGACAATTCTGTAAAAATAAGAAACTTAATTTACGTTCATAATTCTCCATAGTATTTTGGCAAAACATTACAACTTCAAAAAACGTATCATGTATCTCAGTGATTACCCCAGACTGTCTACTTTCCAAAAAGTTGGGGGTATTTGTACTCTCCTGGCATTTGAGGGCTTCAAGGAATGAGATTGGCAGCCAGTACATCAGGAGTGATCAATTTTTAAATATATATACCATGGTTTGTAGATTCTAACTCTTTCACTCTTTCACACTAAATAGTATACACTGATATGTGTTATTTTCACCAAAGAAATGTAGAATATACTTTGGACTAAATTTTAAAGAAATATTAAATATATGCAAAAACAAAGAAAAAAATGTTTTTTGTTATTAGCAAAAAAAAAAAAATGAGTGGTGGTTAAATACCACCAGGAGAAAGCTCTATCTCAAAAAATGATAAGCATAATAAACATTTAATTTGGGTACAGTGCTGTTTGACTGTAATTGTCATTCAAAGCGTGACAGCCCTGAAAGCTGAAAATTATCTTGGACTGAATGGGGCTGAAAGTGTCCGGACTTGAGGTAAAGTACTACTAAAGTGTCACAGTTTTGCCCTAAATACATTTGTATTGGTCAGTTGAACATAGGACATAGAATCTTTGCTTTTCAAAATGTCCAGAAACACTAAGAACTGATATGTTTAGTGCCCCCATTCTCCAGCTTGCTGTGTGCTGCTTCCCTGAACTTCCAGTTGGGGAGAGTTCATTGTACACTGCACACCATCACCAATGAGTACTTTTTTGGTAGCCACCCTAAACAAAGCTATTGGAAGAAGAGTTGGGGCATGACTTTAAATACAGGGCTTAGAGGCTTCCTGCAAGGAGCACACTCATATGGATGTCTCCCAGGTACCCTGAAAAAAAACAGAGCCACCCTATAGACATTAGTGTAGTAAAGAGATATTATAAAAAGAATTGACAGGCTGGAAACAAACTGCATACTTTAAGCAGAGGAGGAAGTAAAGTGTGTCGCTATATACAGTATGTTTTTTCATATGGAGTGTGTTTAACAACATTTTAATACAAACATTGAAAAATGCATAATTTTCCTCTAAGTCCAGCAATGATAATATCAGATCTAAAAAATTATTCCAACAAAGCTGTGTAATCCACAAGTTATTCGCCATATTAGAGTGAAAGAAACCAAGTTCACTGTAATTTAAAGAAACATTGTCCATGGAAACTGGGTTAAAAAAAGCAACCATAGTTGATTGCAACTAGTCACATATGATTGCATTCACACCTGAGCAAAGTGTATTCCTGGTGATTTTGAGGTGTTTTCGAGGGATTTAAGGAAATTCTATGGGCATTTTACAAGCGTATTACAAGCATTTTGCATCAGTGTGTCAAGCTTCAGGAGTAGCTTTCTGGGCTGGGCAAGGAGAGGAGAGCAGTTCTTTAGTAGGAGAGAATTTTTTTCAGGGGTAAAAATGCAAGTATCATACATTTATTTTGCTCCCATTGAAGTCTATGGGACCAAAGATGCTTGAATATGCTAAAAAGCTCATGTATTTTTTTGAGCCTAGGGGCTTGAAACATAGGGTGACTATGTACACAAGTGTGAACAATTAGAAAGAATGGAATTCTACATGTTAAGTGTAGTCAGGTGTAGGTAAATGAGCATAAAAACACTCACATGTGAATGAAAGCCAGTGGTGGTAAAAAATAATGATTAATCCATAGAAGCATTGTCCCTTGAGACAGTAAAAAATCCAAGTTAAGGCTGTGGGATGATGCCACCCCAGGGGCTGGGTGCATTCCTGAGCTGAGGAAATAAGTTTATTGATACTGGTCATCAGGGGCGGACTGACAACTCATGGGGCCCCGGGCAATAGAGGATCATGGGGCCCCTGTGTCCTTGACCAAACTCAAAAAAGCCTATGAAAAAGGTACCAGGGGCATCTCATGGGGCCCCCTACTGAACCTGGGCCCTCGGGCAGTTCCCGAGTTTCCAAGTGGTCAGTCCACCCCTGCTGGTCATAGCATACACAGGCTTTTGAGAGAAGCTAAAATGAGCCTGCATCTAGGCTATGGACATTTAAATAATTACATATTCTTAAGCAGTAAAAACAACTTTAAATCAAGCCCTTACTGACCTCTCTCACTGCATATACTTGTATCCTCAAGATTCAAAAGTGGTTGTAGTCAGTTTCTCAGCAAGCTCTGCTCCCTCTGCTCCTTCTCACAGCAATGACTTGACAGCATGCGCTTATTACCATTATCTCCTAATTGTAGATAACTGTTTTAACAAGTTTTAGGTCACTAAAGAATTTCCTTAAGTCTTATGAACAGTTTATTATTTATTAGAATTCTATACTGACATGATAAATATAGCAAGCAGAGGTACCGCTTGAACCTGTCAACAGTACCCCTAAGATACATATACAACTGGCAGACAACTTTTTATATAATATATATTTTACACATTTGGAAATCTGGTAAGTAGTAATGGCATCACTATTGTTAGGAAAAGGCTTTTGTGATATCATTAAAAATATAAAATAAGCAAGAAAAGGAAGTATTAGAGGAAGAAACCATCATATAAATCTTACATTTTTTAAG